ACTGCCACTGTAAATTCATAACTATACTATATTATCAATCAATACATTTGAATAGTGCCCGTGTGACTATAATTATTTGCATTTGCTCCATTTTTTCTCACACTCAATCAAAAACCTCTTCCTTTATAAGAAACACCACAGTCATATTGGCTCTGGACGCAGTGTTCCGACTGCACTGGGAGTTAATCAAAGCTTGTAGTACATGTATTGACATAGTGATTGCCTGTAATTTTAAAAGTATCTGTTGTTTTGCTCTGGCCCAGAGTGGTGGCCTGCCATCCCAGGGCCAACACATCATCACAAATGCACTGTCCATGTCCACCATTTCAGAGAAGAGATTTAGTACGTTTCTGCTGTCTCATCCGTCCATATTGTCTTTAGGAGCCAAGACATTTAAAACTCCTTAATGGGCATCATTGATTTTGATGCTAGTGCCCAGTGACAGCCATGAGTAGGGGCATTTCTTTTAGACTTTTCATTTCAGTGTTGAGACCATAATATCCAAGAAACAACCTTGAGGGGATTTTTGCCGATTTGGCACAAGTAAGCAAAGCCGACAGACAGATTGCTTTGGTTAGTTGAAAGAAAAAGATTTTTTGACAACATACATCACTAACAAAGTATGTAGGTCCAATTATAAATCCTGTAAGACATCTAAATTGTTAATGTTGTCGTACCCATCCCTTTTGAGCTACTGTACATGCAAAGTCCTCGTTATCATTTGGTGTCTAATATATTCATAGAATAGAGCACAACAATTGAAGCAGATGGAGAGGTGAGCTGTCCAAATGTAATTATCAATGTGATTAAATAGTTTCATCAATTTACAATCATATTTTACTCATGCACATTGTGTCTGTTATGTGTAAGTAATCTTTATTTTAATTGCCCCTGTACACTTTCTTATTTATTTATATAGCGCCTGCTCAATTTATACAGCGCCTGTAAAATAATTAACTTAAGCCTGGTTCACACGAGACGATTTTAAAATTGTCGGCCGATTTTTCTCCGTGTTAGACCCCACACGGGGAGATTAAAAATCCTGCGTCCAACCACTTTGGTCGTGCAGTGTGTGGTGCGTAGCCACACGGCAAAATCACGCAAGCCACAAACATCACACACGAACCGACACCCCCCCCCCCGAGCATTCCCAGGTCAGACGGAAATCTCACAAAATCTCTCGAGATCAAGCGTGACTTCAGAGTAAACAGTCATGGCGGACGAAGAGGATGCAGTGGCGATAGTGTGCAGTTTGTTGTTAACAGAGAAGACACGTAATCCAAAGAAAAGGCAATGGTCAAAGCCATGCTGCTGTGTTTTGGTTTTTTTCCGGTGTTTGTGTTTGTCACCTCGTCTTCTTATTGGCTACACGCCGTAGTCATGGCAACGCGCTCGCTTGTCCTCGGAGGACACCACACACGACGAGAAATTGGGCCAAAACAATCCAACATGTTGGATATCCCCGATTTGAGATCGGGAGCAGTCCCGATGTCCTTCCGAGCGACGAGTGCAGTCTTAACACACCACACACGGCAGGATAATCTGTAAGATTTTGTTACGGAAATCGGAGCGTTTCTTAAGATTGTCGTAAGGGGTAAATCGGGTCTAAATCGGCCTAAATATCCTGCCGTGTGAACCAGGCTTAAAGGCCCTGCACTAGGACTGTAAACTCGCACCGCTATTGTCACTTTATTTTAATATGTACACAATATATCTTGCGCAAAAGAGACAATTCACTTGTTAACATGTTTGCACATTTCTGGTCTTTTGCACAACCTGAGTGATTCTATTCATGCCAAATGTGACGTGTACATTTCTCCTTTGTGAGATCAATAATGTCTATCGTGTCTTAGCCTTTCACCGACCAGAGTCTCACATATACTGTACGTAACAATAAACAGCTAAAGAGGAAATTCCGTCTGTAAGAATGGGAGAGTGGTTCTCAGTGTCCACCTGCCTCACCTACCCTCCCTCTTCTACACACCTGCACACTGTCACACACCTGTGCTCATCAGCATCACTTCATGGCTGCATTTAAACAGAGCTTCTCCTCGTATCAAGATACTGCTCGTGCAGCAACCCCCCTCCTCCCCATCAGCTCCTCATCAATGGAGGATCATCATGTGGTCTCAGCTTCCTTCGCCTCCAGGGTTTAGGCTCATTTCATGTATAAAGTGCACTAAATGCATAGTCACATCATGCGTCTTTCAAACATCAATGATCTAAATCAGTGTCTCCCAAAGTGGGGTCCGCGGCCCCCTGGTGGGCCGCGAGGGTACTGCAGGGGGGCCGCGGGAGGTCATAAAAAAAAAATAATAATAATATAATTATTTAATGTTAAATTTATAATGTTTTGTTTGTAATATTAAAATATTTGTTTTCATTATTTGACTTGAATAATCCACTGTAATCATTTTTGTATTACAATGTTTGTAGCAGAGGCTATTTCCCCAAAATAAAATAACCAGAAGAGCCTATTCTTAATGTTGTCTTCTTGGTTATTATTTTGGGGGGCCACGCAGACCCGACAGATTTTTAAGGGGGCCTCGGTGTTACTGAGTTTGGGAATGGCTGATCTAAATCATAAAGCTGGTTTCTCTAATCTCTTATCTCTTATCTTAATGTATTCACTCTCAATAAACTTCCTTCTATTGCGTCTTTGCTTAAGTCTTTCCTGATTGAAATATAGAGAAAGATCTGCAGTAGTCCAAACTAGTCCAGTCAGAGAAGACATTACATTATTTTTACTCTGACCTTCCCTCGGGATGCGAATGTCTTGAGACTTAACACGTCTAGGTCTTCTTGACATCTTTCTGCACCGGGGCATGTCAATTTAGTGAACGCGTACATTTTGCACACAATGAGTTCTTCTAGTCGAGGGAGAAAGTTGTAAACTGCAACTTTTCCTTATGCTGTAGCTGGAGGCTCAAAACTCTGAGGCATCAATTTGTTTAGGCTGCAAGTAAATCAATAGAATCTGTCTTTTGTTACCATAATAATAACACAATTAAGTAGTATATATTGTTTCTCAGTTTGTCACATCCTGACCTGAAGCTCTCATTATGGCATATTGTCTATTCAATGCTAACACTATCTCTCTCTGCTTCACGGATTTGTCACTCATGTCTCGGAATATGTTGTTTTTCTGAGCACTTTTCAACATCAATCACTTCTATTGCATTCAGCAGCGATGACCTCCGCTGTGGTAATTTGTCGACAGCCGGTATACGCTAATTTGTCTTTCAGAGCCACATTTTTTATTGCCAGTGTGTTCAATGATGATATATAATGCAAATCAAATTAAAGGCTCTTAGGTGACCCAAATACTCCCTGCTAACTTTTGTATATATTACAAGTTGTGCTGCGCTGAGGCAATTAGGCCCAAGAATAGCTTTAATGCTGCCTGTAACTCGCATCAGTTTGATCAAAAGCTTTGAATTGAATGCTAAGGAATGTTCTAAAAGCGATCCAAAAACTTTCAAGTCCTTGTTTACATGATTGAGTTCTGACTCGTTACTTGCTATGCTACCCCTAACGCTCGTAAGGCGCAGTAATGAGAAGATGGGCTTCTTTGGTGGAGCCTCCCAGGAGACTTATATGATCTGCAAGTTTTATGATTGCAGAGTTCAGGCCGGGTATTGCTTTGACAATTAATTGTTTTTTGGGTGATGGGAGCCGCATCGAGCTTTGACTCATTCTGGCCACAACTGTTTTTTCCCCCTCTCTCCAAAGTTTGTTTTCTTGCCGTCATTTCATATCAGTATTTGGATTTAGAAGTATTTTATTATATATATATTTTATTAAGGGCAACAAAACACACACAAAATACCCATTGACATTTAACATGAACACAAAAAGAACACATAATAAACATGAACAACAAAAGTGCGATCCCACCTGAACATATATAACCAGACAAAACTAAAATAACAAAAGGAAAAATAAACCATAACAAAGCATACATGCGCATGAACCTTTTTCAGCAAAACACACACCTCCCAGTCGGAAAATAGGGTCTTTCTGAGTGGAGTTTGCATGTTCTCCCCGTGACTGCATAGGTTACCTCTTGCTCCAGCTCCGGTATTCCTGATCAAGCCGAGCATCTAAAAATAGAAATGGGTCTTTTGACAGTGGCCCTAGTGGCATTGCAGGATGGGTCAAATGCAGAGGACAAAAATGTACAATTATTTGGCTGATGTTTCTATTGATTCATGAATTACTTGTTTAGATCCCCAAGTTAGTATGCTTTTTTAATACATTTGACCATAACGAAGCTTAAGCGATGCCCCTGGAGAACATCTTCACAGAGATCGTTCTGCCGTCATCAAACCTGAGTGATAAAACGTCTTCTCTGCATGTTTAAGTCTGTGTAAGGTTCAAAAAACAAATCATGAATTAACGGCTGTAATTACATCTAAAATACCGTGACAAAACATAGATATTTAGTCTCACAAAATCCCAGGCCTGTACAGTGTTGCTGATAAATGAAATATTAGCATATAAATATACATGAAGGACTTTGTGATATTCTATTCAAATTAAAAGCCGGCACTTATCCATCAACTCTGACAGGTCAATAATGTGCGGAAAGGTTATTTTTTTTTTAGACTGAAACTAAACACTTCCACTCATATAGATTTCTTAACATACACATTATTTATGAAGACAGCTTTACGGTGTGTGCGATGATGAATGATGGATCAGCATGCTTGTTTATTCATCGAGTGTTGCCTGTGTATGAAACCTATACTGTTATACATATGTACTGAGGTTTATCCCATAAACAGTATGTACAGGGCTTGCAGGAAAGCGCAAACCCGCTGGCAGGGCTGTTTTGACAAGTTTTTTGTTGGGACTTTAATATCTCAGTGTCTGTCTGGGAGTTGAAAGGATATCAACATGGGTGCCTGTTTGTTTGTTCCTGCAAGTGACATTTCACTGCTGTAGATTTTTTTACACCGAAATAAATCCAGCCTAATCTTTTTGATCTGCTTTCATAGGTGATCCTCATGTTGACAAAATATTACGACTTCAACACCGGTAGAGTGACGGAGAGCTCTTTATGGAGGTAAGAGACTACAGACGCCGTTATTACACTTGTATATAGTACTGCGGGCACCACGGCACTACAAAGGGATTCAGTAATGTAATGGTAATGTTGAGTGGCTGTGCGTTTCCCAAATGCCATTAACAAAGTGAGCAAAGGAGAAGTTACAATAAGGACAATATGAATGTTTGAATACGCCGTATGAATATATTTATACCACAAACCCACTCGTTCCCTACATCAAAGAGAGTGGTGTTGCGTGATCCTTGCCTGTTCATGGGATCAGTTATTTACCAAATCAAATGATCAGAAATCCTCCATCTCGCTGCTTATTACATTGATTTCCAGGTCAGTTTATATGAAAGGGTCAACCGGTATTGAGTTGTTAATATTCAGGGCTGGTATAGATCGTTGGAAGTCAAGGAGGCTGATAACCAATATATAGAGCTAACATTAATTTAGTAGGAGATCCTAACAATTTGAATGGGCAGTGAGGGATTGCCATTTACCAGCAGTGGGCGGAGAGTCTTGCCTCATCCCGATGGATTTTATTTTGGGCAATAAAAGCCTGGAAAAAAACTAAAATCTTCAAAAAGCTTCACTTAACTTGTTGTTAACTTGTTGCTGTTTAGAGGACTGAATCTATGTTTATTCAACAAAATAAACAAAAAATAGTGCAAAAAAATTATGATGTAATACCAGAATTAGGTCTACCAGGATGCCCTATTATTCAGTAAGTAAATAAATAAGTAATCATTTTTTATATAGCAGCCAAGGTGACCCAAAGCGCTTTACAAAGTGGAGATTTCGGTCATTTTTTATGTAAATCGAAATGGCCCGAAATGAACCAAACTAAATATAACTAATCGGTTTGTTCAGGCAGTTACAGTGCGTAGGGCGGTGTGCCAGACTCAGCTGTTATACTCTGCAGCAGACAATTAAATGTTTGTGTTTAGCTGAGTTGTATCATAGTTGTGTAGACCAGGCTGGACTAATTTGACTAGTTTAAAGATAGTCTGATACCGATTTATTACTATTCATTCGATACTGATAATTGCCCCTAGTTTGTAAAGAAATACTGACATTACCTCCATATCTGAGAATACTAATAATAATAATTTAGAGCTCTGTGTGATTCGGTGTCTGTGCAGTAGATCCTGATTTTAAAACGTTTGCCTAAATGAACAAACACAAAAGTCTGCTTTAATATGAAGGTAGGTGAGTGTATGATCCACGGACTCCGGATGAAAACTCGCCTTGAGCTATTTCCGGTGTTCTTGCCGCAGTAGCTGTTTATTAATTCACTCTCTGATTCCTAAATCCATTATGGGGTTTGGCAAATGTAGAAATGCCCGGCGATTTTTATTAGTTTTATATAAGTTTTTTGGGGGGAACAATATTATTAACCAGTGTATGTTTCAGTTACTGGAGATAAGAAACAAACTGATTGTTGTTGTGCTCAGTCTTTCACACTGTCTTTTGTAGCTGAAAGTTACCATTATTGAAATGAGCATATTTTCATTACCTCGGAGCATGACTAAAAATAATAGCAGCTCTAATAACATCCTATCTTCGCACACCCAGCATCCCACATGTGATATTCTTGTTGATTCTGATAATTAAGAAAATAACCATTCATCTAGTAAATTGCCTCACGACTGTTTTGCTGTTTGCAATTTTCTGCTTGCCTGAAATGTTTAATGATACTATCAGAATCTTAACTAGTTGATGCTGCGTTCCTTTGGTGTTGTTTGCCAACTGTTTAATGTCATGTAATTGAATTTTAGGTCAACTGATTACGGCACCACGTATGAGAAGCTAAATGAAAGAGTCGGGCTGAAGACCATCCTGAGCTATTTATACGTGAGCCCCAACAACAAGAGAAAGGTAGGTGTGGTGTCGCCATGACGATTAGCATTGTCTTCTTTCCTCTGAAAGCTGCAGATATTCAACAAGTTTTACTTGTTGTGACTATCCTGTAAAGTGTTCAAGGTTTACCTCAATCACCTGCTCTGTCATTATCTGATTCCACATATCGCTTGGCATAGGGCTCAGTTTATAACACAAAAGAGAGATGTTTAAATCAGTCAATCCAATATTATAAGGGTATATAAATAAATAATAAAATGGACAAAAGCAAAATAAATACAACGATATACAAATATTGTTGTTTCATGTTTGTATTTTTAATCAAATAAATGGCATAACCGTCAAAATGTCCTCTCAGATTTGTGTAATTCAAACCATACTGACCCTCCACTCTCACTCCAACCTAGAATGCCACAATACAAAGAGAGAATGAGGTGTAACCTTGATGAATATGCCCCTTATGACGCATTCAATACAGACTGCACTCTATGCTTTGGGAATGTGCAATACAAACTGCACACAAGGCTTAGAAAGAATGAAAAGTATAAAGTAATATAGAATGTTTCAATGTTCTTCTGCTAAAAAAAAAAACAGAAACCTCTGATGATTTTTTGGTCTCATTCAGTGAATGTAAATATATTGTGGTGTCTGTATACAGTAAAGCAGGTCCACCTCTGTCCCAAGACACATTTGTATAATAATAATAATATTAATATTGTTATAACTATTCACAATACAAATCTGATTGAACTAGACAAGATGTAGAAATGCCTGAATGGCCCAATGAGGGCTTGAGTGGGACAGTCACGACTCTCTCAATGCTGGAGTTTTGTACCCATCATCCTGCAGGACTATAGCGTTCTTTGAAGATATTTTTATACACCACTCAGCGATCACAGCCGAGACAAAAGGGGCCACAGCCGAGGATTCGGAACGTGGACATGTGTTTTAGGCATGCTATAGATCTATAAGGACTATATGATGAAAGTGATGTAAGTGGCCTCTGTTGTGATCTGCAACTCTGAAAGGCTAGACATTTCACACACCACTATTACTATATTTCTGTAAGAATATAGACAGAATTGTTCTATTTTTCTCTGTTCTATTTTGTATTTATTATGGATTCTCAAAATTGTTATTTTCATCAGTATAATGGAAATATTCCTCTGTGATGATAATTAATCATAGTTAAACCAGTATCTGTTGCTCTGCCTGTCACGTCTGTTTATAATTCTCCCATTTATTTATTTTTGGTTCTGAGCCCACACAGGTGTGACACAGCGAGACATTTTCTGTTTTTTTTTTCAAATACTTTTTGGTTTAGTTTATAATTCAACCAATTTGAGACCCACCTCTCCAGCCTGAGCAGAGAGGCAAATTCCAACACAGATCAGGATTCGGTTTTGTGTTTATATAACAATTACAATCACAATCAATTTTTTCATGTTTGCACATAGTGTTTCAACAGGGGCCTACAGTGTTTCGTCAATCCATCCATTGCACAAATGCACTTAAGCCCCGGGAAATGCATTCTGTCAAGGTGGGTCACTGATTCTCGCCGCGCTCTGCTCTCTTCACAGATCATGTTACTGACCGACCCAGAGGTGGAGAACAGCCTGCTTATTAGTCTCGACGAAGGGGCGTCCTATCAAAAACACAGCTTAACCTTTGATATCCTCAGCTTGCTTTTCCACCCCGAGCAGGAGGACTGGATCCTGGCCTACAGTCATGACCAGAAGGTAAAAGCTCGCCGTGGTTACATGTTTCGTCATGTTTTTTTAGGAGGGGATTAAGGAGCTGTCCGTGGTGCTACTGCTCCGTAAAGCCAGTCACACTGTGGGCTATATTTATCAAGGGATTGCACGCTAACATAGTAAGCACAGCCTTATGAATAACTATTTATGATAATTCAAAACATGTTGATGAAATTAAATGGCTGTGTGGAGAGTCAAGCGTGAACTGCTGCTTGAATTGATTCCCCAACACTTAAATGTAAATGGCTCATAAAGTTATATTGGTATGGGCTGTTTTAAAGGCAGCTTTATTCATAACAATAGTGAACTTAAACTTTACCTGAGATCCATTCGCTGAGACTTGCACTTCCACAAAAGCTCTGGTTTCTCCCCCGGACTCATCCCTGGTCTATGTTGAAGTTTGCTCTGCCTATTTTTCTATTGAGTACTAATATTGAATACTAATACTAATACTCCCAGCGGAGACAGACCTAATGAAGCTGTGACTGTTTTTGGGAGGTTTTTTTTGGTTCTGATCTCACACAGTTGTGACACAGGGAGACAGTACAAATATAAAGTTCACATCTAACAACAAATACATAATAGTACAAGTTACGTCCACTTTTATTTAAGTCACGGCTCCAAACCTCAGATTTCATTTCTTATTTATACAAGTTAACCATCATTTCCTCGCATTTTCATCTCTCTTTAAACCCCTCTGAGCTTGACATTGTACGTTTTACTGAATGTCATAATATAACATCAGGAGCTGTTTTGTTCGGTTTGCTGTGGTTACTGTAGGACACTCAGAGCGAGTTTTGAGAGAGTGCACTTGGCTTGAGTTGCTTTTGGATTCAGCCCACAGGCTCAGTATGTTTTCCTGTTTACGAGAAATGTGTGTCTTTTCCAGTTCAGTGTGGTATTTGACATCACACCTGAATTCATTGCCATTTTGAACCTTCTCACCACTTCTGCTCACTTCTCTGGAATACACGTATAATGAAGTACTTTATTGGCAGCGTTAATGCACAAGGCTTGCAGATACAAATATTAAGCACTTTTGCATGGCTATGTTTTTTTAATTTTAATCTTGCTCCAGGTTTGCTTGAGCACACACGTACACTACATCTTTGAATGTTTAAATGAACCATTGTACATGTGAATATTCAGCTGTGATACCTTATTAGATTTGTTTATTTGATGGGCTGGGTAGACACTTTAATCACAACATACTTATTTGTAAATTGGTCCCATATTCAAGTAAATAAAACTAAACAAATTTCATTGAGTTAAAATACTGCAACCAAAATAGTAATTGTGACCTGTTCTCAAAATACAGGAATGTAGAATAAAATCAGTTCATAATAAAGTTAAAGTCCAAGGTAAAAATCGAATTAAACAAATCCAAAACTGAAAATAGCGACCGGGGAAACCGTAAACAGAAACCACAGAAATATATAAATCAGATAGATCAACAGGGGAACAGGACAGGCATAAAAAATACAAGACAACTAAAAAAACAATAAAACTAGGTATAAATCAAGGAAACGTCCACACATTACATCCATTGTGGTTTTATTTGTTATATATGTCTGATACATGTAACTGAAAGCAACAGTTTGAAGCGCTCAGATACAGGTACAGTAGTTTGCTTCCCGCTCTCTCTCCTGAAGCCTCTGTCCTCACTGCAGCGTCTGAAGAGAGGCTGTGATGGCCTGAGCAGGGGGGGGACAGGGGGAAAATCAGCAGCAAAAGGTGATTCTCACAGTAAATAATTATTGCCTTCAAAGCCCTACATTCAATATTCCAACAGAATGTGGTCTGGGGGTGCGAGACAGCCGCAGATCTCCAAATGACACGCATCAGACCTGTTCAAATGTGAAAATGAACCAATTAATAACCTAACAACTGATGTGGATTTATTCCTGAAGCATTCTCAGTCCTCCAGCGCCAGTTGTTAGAAATTGGACAAATCAAATATACTAAATACTTTTTTGAAGTTCCAAAATCTTAATTTTCTACACTTTCTGCTGTTCTATTATAATGTCCCACAGCACATCCATTACCTGTCATTCATTCAGAGTGAGGTGTTGTTGTGTAACTTGGCCTGGCAGTGCCATTGCAGTAAGGTTAGTTAACTATCTCCATTGAGACAATGGATATCTTTTTTATCTTTTGAAATATGGCATAAGTGCCTGGAGCTTGCTTTTGTCTGTTGTTATGCAGTTTTTGTGAGTCTTTTTTACCTGTCCCAGGACACCCATATCTGAGAGGAGGCAGAGCTAATGTCTAAGGCTAACTAGTTTTCAGCTGCATCCTGGCATATTTTTCTCTAATGTTTGATAAATCAAAAAAAATAAAAGAAAAATGACCGCAGATGACAACCCAGACGGCTTCTTACAACATCTGCTGCAAGATATTTTGACTGTGTGTTTACGGAGGATGTGATGGATCCATGTTCTTGAACTGTCGCGGAGCTATCCTCCCCCACCGACAGTTGGTGTGGTCTGGACATCACATTGATGCCCTTTACGCATGTTGCATCCTGCTACACAGACCGATGGCTAAGGCTCTATCTCAGCTCATAGTTTTATAGACACCTCTACGTTGAAGCATATTCCAGGTCTATGAATGTATTTTTCACTGTTCATCGACCTTCCACATGGTTCATAGTTCATCGTTCACTGGTATGGACATGAAAACATCTGATGCTGTTTCTGACAAAACAATATTTGAACCTGGAATCTTGGAAGAAATTTGGTCATTTTAAACAGAACCATAAAAATGTACTTTTTTTTCCTGTGGGAGAAGTTATTTACTACAAGTTAAAATCAAGTCAAAAAAGTGAAAAAGCAAGGAAGTTATTTGTCATTAAAAGTACAGTGTAGCTCTATTTTGTTTAACCCACGCATCGTGACTTTTAGCTGTACTTTATGAGCCATTGTCATCTACAGTCTGTGCAACTATGCCTCCCAATTTGTTAACGCTTCAGAAACTCCCGTTTCCAAAAATGATATCACCTCTTGAGTAATAAACTCAGTCTTCTGACTTTTTCACCTTCCCTCACCTATTGAAGATTTACTCAAGTCACATTGGAGCACATTGAGTGACTTTAAAACAGTCTCATAGTTAGATAAGCAGAGACATGCCAAATCCTTTCCTATCTACATTCTTCCATTGTTTTTAGATCCATCCATATTATCTGTAACTTATGGCACAACCCAGCTCCTGTCTCTTCATGTGTTTCACCAGATATTTTCTACTTAAAATATGATTTCACTTTATAAAACATGAAATGACAAAGTGAAAAGTCTCGTTATAGTTTTAATGGTAAAAAAGAAGAATGCATCAAATGTCTTCTTTAAGGTATGACTGGAATTACAGAACAAGTTCACCGTGACACGACAGCACGCGCTGGAATAGACAGACCCTGGGCAACATTGCACACCGGAGAAAGCTGACAATCTGTGCATATTCTGCTCACACTACTTCTATTACTCTCCTTGGTCACCCTGCTGTCTGCTTTACTCAACACCCAGGACATCAAACCAGGCCTCCCTCGCCCTGTGCTATTGGAAGACTTGATTTTGGGGGGAGAGAAAAGCAGCCAAGGTCTCCATAGTGAGATAAATGTTCCAGAGAGGAAGATGAAAGCCAGTGCCAGATAGCCTCAGACGGGTCAAAATACAGATTCTTGAGTGTAGAAGTTTGCCTCCAGGTCATTTCCCTGTAAAGCTTTAGTTTGTATATGCGCTTTCCTTTTTACTCCTTTTATCACGGCTTGATTGAAATGAATTACTGCTGGCTTTCATTTTCCCTTCTATTGATTGTCCGTCATGGTTGTCTTTCTTTCTCCCCACAAAGTCATAAGCTCTTAAGACGAGTCTAAATGAAGTGGCTTATGCTCGTGAAGCTACAATGCTTAAAATGATCATTATACCGAGATGACAGGATTTCTGTGTGTTGTTTGGACATGGATTCTAAAGGGTTTAGCAAACATGAGGGGGAAACAAAAGCCTCCAGTGGCACCGTCTTAAATCTCCAGGGACAACCGGCTGCTTGTTCTAGAAATTTTGTTGTTGCTTGTATTAAACCTTTTTGTCTAGTATTGTTTAGTGTAAGAAAGATATATAGACATGGCATAAGTAACACTGTAACACCTCAGGCACAGTGGCTTCTCAGCAAGAAGGTCCTGGGTTCGAATCCAGATCGGAACAGGGCCTTTCTGAGTGGAGTTTGCATGTTCTCCCCGTGTCTGCGTAGGTTTCCTCTGGGTGCTCCGGTTTCCCCTACCACTAAAAACATGCCCAATAGGTATGAATGTAAATGAGAGAGTGAATGGATGGTGTTGATTGGGGGCTGATGGTCCAGTGTGTTCGGCGACTCGCTTCTGTCATCACCGTGTGTGGAATGATTGGAACAATATCTGACTCTGAACATTGCAAAGTGCTTTGGGTGACCTTGGTCTGTAAAATGTGCTATATAAATAAACATTACTTACTTACTTACTTTATTTATATAGCGCCTTTCACAGTCCAGAGTTTGAAGCACATTACAATTGTTGTGAGCATTTGTCTCTCACTCCTCACAGAGCTGGGAGCGGGGTCGCCAGTACAGGAGGCGCATGTCAGACCTATTGTACATGTTTTTAGTAGCAGTGGAAACCGGAGCACCCGGAGGAAACCTACGCAAACACGGGGATAACATGAAAACTCCACTCAGAAAGGGCCTTTTCCAACCGGGATTCGAACCCAGGGCCTTCTTTCAGAGACGCGAGAGTGCTATCCATGCATAATACCTAAAATTTGATTTAAAATAACTTGAATAAAAGTTCTTTAAACTGTACTGTACTTTAAATTAGAAAGAAACCTGTTTATTTGTTTTAATCTATACTGTTTTGTTTTATAATGGTGTATTTACTTGATGGTATGCAATCCACAACCAAGTAATACAGTAGAAAAAAATGCACACTTTGATTATTTGGGTATTACAAAGACATGTATTTTTGACTGTAGATAATAAAGCAGCACAATAATATATAATATATTATTTTAAAAGAAATCATATCTAAGTATGATATTTTTCAAAAGTCCTACTTCTGTTGCTCAACTTACAATGTGAAACTATTACATTAAAGACTTATTACATGAAAACTTAGATTTATCAAGCCCAAATAAAAATCTCACAAAATCAGAATAATTTGAAATTTGGACTTTTAGCCAAAATCATCAAAGTTATGTCTATATCATGTATTGTTTTCACCTTTCAACATGAAATGCAGAATTGAACAATATTCATTTGTTTCCCCACATAATCTCCTCCATTTCAGACTTTGTTGCCCTAAAATAACTCATTTTTTGTGTTTTATACTTTGTTCATCGATTGATTTATTTTCCTAAATTTGGGATACACAGTTGCAGCATCGTAGATTTTAGACTTTATTATATTAAAAAATGACGTGTTCAAAATCCCTTATAAAGATGACCATGATTCAGAAAGTTAAATTCAAAAAGGTTTATTTCCCTAATACAAAAATAATCTAAAACATCTGTTCGGACCAAAAGTAACTATCCCTTATTCTCTATATAAAGTATAAAAGTATAACTTTGAGTGGGCGCTCCACATCAAGTCACACACTGCCCCTGGTCCGGAAAAAACTAAAAAACCACACATTCAAACTATCCACTATAAGTAAAATGTGCATGGGGAAGAAGGGGCGTGGTATCAGGCAGCTTCCGGGGTCCCGTGATCCGCCTTCCTCCATCTGGTCTCCGTCTCCAGTCCGCACCTAAAAAGAATTCATGCTTTTCTAACCTACGTCTCCGGGCAGCTGTCTCTGGTCTGGATTCATCCCTGCTTGTCTAAACAAATCCCCTCATTAGTCCCAACAGCCCGCTTTCCTACAGAACTGACCTGCATGTGCAGTACAAACACATCACACTAATTAATCTAATATCTGAGTACAGGAAATCACCAAAAATATGAAGTAAATATATGTTAAGAAAGGTTATGTGTCTTATCATATGTCAATCTGAGTAGACTGGCAGACTCCAGTCGTCAACCCACTCCTGATGGAGTGGGTTCAATAGTGCAGAAGTCAGCAGGGGCCAAGGCTAGGGGGACAAAATCCAAACAGCAGAACCCATCTGTTATTTAGCTGGTCCCCCAAGAAGACCCCTAAAATTAAATAAAAAGGACTGGCCTGCCACTCAGAGGTCGATAGATCATAAAACACATGGTTTTAGAATGTCACTTATTTATAAATACAACAACTTTCAGTAAAAATCTGCCTTTTCTCTCCTCTGTAACCTGCAGCTACTGTATGTCGGCTCTTTACATGTTGACATTGCGTAAAGGGTTCAAGTGCAAGTCAATACAATTATAAAATCTAAAGTTATCAGATTTGTCTCTTTTATAAATTGCTTTAAATCAATAATGAGATTTGAACATATTCAGAACAATCACCCACAGATAAGAACAAACGCAGACCAAAGCACCAATAAGCCTTCTATAGATCTGACGTAGGTGATGGAGAGATGCAGTTCCATTTTATACATGTTATTATGGAATTCTGGAGTTTATCCTTCTGAGTCCCATAACGGATTATTTATGATATTTATCAAATGCATTTTTCTATCGCTGAGACTTCGCACCATGATTTCACATCTTTATTTGTGTATTTCAGCTCTATGTCTCGGTTGAGTTTGGGAGACGATGGCAGCTCGTGCATGATAATGTGGTCCCCAATAGATTTTACTGGTAAGTCTTTCTCTCTATTTCTTTGGGGAGGGTTTTAAAACAAAATCCAACTTCATTGAATCCAGTAGATATGGCATTAACAGAGTACATATATTTGTTTTGAAACTGATTGGGCCCACAGGCTGTGTGCTGAACGCTTTCTAGACATTCTTTGCTTCACTAGATCTTCACTGGATCTGTCATCGATGGGGTCTTCTATTTAAATGTCTTCTTCTCACAACTTACACTTATTTTACATATATTGTGACATTTCTCCTGAATTCATTGCCATTTTGAACTCTTTCATCCCTTCTGCCCTCAGGACCACATGTAAAAGGAAGTACTTCATTGACAGGGTTTAAGTTCTACATTTTACAAATATAAAAAAAGCAAAAATGTTAGATATGATTGTAGCTTCGGGCTGTTCTTGCAGCAAGTGTACTTTCTGTGTGACATGAACCTCCAACAGTGACTAGATGAGCTTAGCATTATCAGTTGTTGTTGTTGTTGATATTTTTCAGGCAGTTTAAGCTGGGGTACCCATTTTTTCTCTAAAATTATCCATGTCGTCCCAACAAAAAGCATATTATAAAAGTATCATTTTGTGAACAATTCCAAAATACAAAGTTGAAAATGTTATGTATTTATAATTTATTTGGGACAGTGTTTATTAGTGAACAGCGATCTGGTGTAACCCATGGCAACATCTGCTTGCCTTGGGCTGAGTGAGGGCTGTCCTCTCTTTTTCACCTTTCTGCCTGAAAAGGCTGCTCTAAAGATTTGACAGAGAGAAACATACATTCATGTGGAACTAGTGATAGATCCAAACTGTCAGAGATCTGTATTCTGTTGTTTGAGAGTTAGATACCCCAGCTTTAATTGCTACAGGATGAATACATTCTGTTTTTATTTAAACGTTTACAGCTTAGAGAAAAACAGCTTAAATAATATTTTTAGCCTTAGAAAATACATTTCCAAGTCCGGGTCCGGACCTCGAGACCCTTTTCTCTGTAATTTTTTGGTTCAAAAGTACATTACCTCACAGGTGCGAGGGCGGCTGTGTGCTCAGCAGGGTCCTTTAGAGAAAAGGAGGAGGAGGAGACAGGTGTCTGAGCTGCTATTGCCGATGTTTAGTCCGAATGTACACATCAAAAACATATTATAAAAACATTAGCAAACAGCTCATGCCCAGTTTTAGTGCTCACTGCGAGTGAGTGTATGGAGGCGATGACAGAAACGTTATTTGATGGGAAACAAGGACTTAAAAAAAAAGTCTGCCAGATCCTTCACAATGAACACGTGTTGCACCCACTGCTCCGAGAGTTTGGGAGAAGAACGTGGAGTGTTGTGTAGAAATAAACAAAGAAGATCAATGTTATGTGTGAGTTATATACACCTATATTTATGTTTTTTATTATTCTCACTATTGTAGTCATTGTTGTTGTTGTTGTTGAAGGTTTTCAATCCTTTCATACAGAAGAAATTCAATCTGAAGAGACCAAAGACACAATTAATACATTCAAAATGATTTATTTGTTTGGGGCATTGACCCCGGCAGTGACACTTGCAGCAATGAGATCGATTGCAGCTGAAGATGATCTCAGATCCCCCGGGGTCAAGCACTGGTGGTGGCTAGAGTATGGTGTGAATGGGGCGTAGGCGGAGCAGGAGCCAGAGCAGGAGCCTATAGAGCCAGAGCCAGAACAGGAGCCTAGAGCCAGAGCCAGAGCAGGAGCCCAAAGCCAGAGCCAGAACAGGAGCTTAGAGCCAGAGCCAGAACAGGAGCCAGAGGGGGTGCTGGGGAGGTGGTGGGTGTTTAAGAGCCTCAGGAAGCGTTGCTTGTCAGGAAGTGGCTGCCTTTTAAACTGCCCGCTTTGCTGTGAGAGGGTTGGCAGGAGGCTGGCCGGGCTGTGTGATAGGCTGAGGCTCGAGGCTGGCAGAGCTGTGTGATTGGCTGAGGCTCGAGGCTGGCAGAGCTGTGTGATTGGCTGAGGCTCGAGGCTGGCAGCGCTGTGAGATTGGCTGAGGCTCGAGGCTGGCAGCGCTGTGAGATTGGCAGGCACTCGGTCTTTCAGTCTGAACCTGCGCATTCAGCTTCATTTGCTTGAATGGATTTCTATGAAATCAAATATTTGTCTGATGTCCGGACTCTAATCTGTTGAACTGATCAATTAAGTGGACCTCTTGCAAATTTAATTTGGGGCCCCTGCATTAGACCTTCAAGGTCTGTGTGTTCTTTCACAAAGTCATACAATTTAGCAATAATAATTTAATTCTGTCATATAATAAAATGCCAAAGTAACTTTTACACACAATTAAAGGTCATAAATGAATGATTATTTCAGCCTTATCTCACCTCGTAATTGCTGATTAAACAAAATCAACAAAAAAGATACAATTAGGTCTCTGTGGAGATGTGATGTTGTCAAGGTCATTCTTTGTGTGTTTGTTTTCAGAAATAGTTTTGGAAAGCTATTTACAATATTATTTTGGTCTTTTATTCAATTCTGTTCAATATGCTCTTCATATTATGACAAATACCAGATGGGGCTCTTCAGATTCTTAAAACCCTCAGATAATTGGTGGAAACCATGAATCTCAACACAAACTTATTGAACGTGTATGCTACTTTCAGTACTTTGAGTCTTTTCAGGGATAGATGTGCAGTATAATTACCGCTTTATTTGCACGATATTTCCTAATGTTATTGGTGTAAAGATAAGTGAAAATGTTTCCTATTGGCTTGTTATGTGTGTTTAATGTAGCAGAAAGCACTTTGCGTACTGACCCATTGCCCAGTGATTAAATAGCTGTTATAGCACAAAATCACTTCCATTGCATCTCTTCTGTTCATTTAAGACTTTAGAAATGTATGGCCTTGTTGTAGCAATAAATCATTGCTGCCCTAAGTTGATTTTGTTTTAAAAGTATTCAACCCCTGATGTAGATATCAACATTACTCTAGCCACGTAGGACTGACAATACATGCATCAGAAACTAAAGAGATTCAGATCAAAACAGTTTGGAAAAGCAGATCTGTGTGCCCAGTTAAAGTAAGTAAGTAATGTTTATTTATATAGGGCATTTTACAGACCAAGGTCACCCAAAGCGCTTTGCAAACATCAGTCCAAACCAGTTTGCAGGTCGAGGAACATCGCTGACACAACTTAACATCAAGAAACTGCAGACACAAGGCTATGCTACATTCTTGCTACATTCTTGGAAACTGGTGGCCTGAGAAGATCAGTAACCAAGGACTTCTATCAAGAACAGGACAGGAGCCAGTCGAAGTTATAATCAGGAAGTGGAAGTGGAGATGGATTGGTCAGACTTTTCGGAAACCTCCAACATCCATCCACCAGAACTTTGCTAGAATGGAATCCTCAAGGCAAGAGAAGGAGTCATGGGCAATAGGGCTGTTCTGAGGGAGCAACAGGTGAAGCTAACCGCAGGAGGCTGATGGAGGTGCAGACGCCTTTGAGCATGCCCTATTTAGCCCTACTTTACTCTACTCTGCTCTACTCTAATTGGGAGTATTTCCACTTGTCCCTGTTAAACCAGTACCAGATACTTTTTTAGTACCTGCTTGGCCATGGTTCTATCGATGTTGAGCTGGTACTTAAGTGTTGGCCAGAGAGCAGCTAGAAGCCATGGTTACCAAGGAATATCCCCAAATACTGGTTTGTTGTGGGTAGGTTGCTAGGATATGGTACCAGATAGTAAAGAGTAATGGAAACACAATCAGGTAGAATCTGATTAATAACTCAATAACTCCTTAAAGTTTTCTTTTGTTGAACAATCGTAAAATCTTATCAGATCCTTACCTTACGTTTTTCAACACATTTGCTAAATACAAATAGGTTTTTTGTGTTCATTAGTCCAAATCTCAGAATGCAAAGCTCATTTCCATCACCAAATTTGAGCATTTCTTTAAACCTTTGCTTATTTGTAATATTTATAGCCCTTCTTGGATATCTAAAAATCACTTGGTTTGGGACTCACCCGTAGTTGGAAGAAATCAGCTTCAATCCAGGCTTCACACTCTTTACCATTCATGATTCATGGTTCTGACCACAGAACTCTCTCTTCTCGCATGCCGCACATTGATATGGAAAGAACAGAGTGTAATCCTGCAGTAATGTTGCTCTGCCCGGTGCTTTCGCTGCCTTTTTTAACGTCTCCAATGAATATACATCGGAAAATACGGCTATAGTTTGCAGGTGCAGGAACGAGAGCAAAGAGAATAGACAAAAATGCACTTGTTGACGCGCATCCGAAAAGCTTAATGAGACATTGTTATTCGACCTTCAAAGACTCAAACGGTTTTTGCTGCTTCCAACTTTTTTAATGGAATATTGTTCGCACTTTTGATACATAATGCATCCTGTGAGCGAAACGACACAGGAGTGATTCAATCTTCTGTAGAAATTACATTTTACCCTTCGTTTACATGAGGCTCCTTCTAAATCATTCATTGCTCTTGCACACTGCACTAAGCATCTAAATTACACACACACACATGCACACACACACACACACACTCACACACGGTTAATAATTGATTGCCACTTTCATGTGAAATATTGTCAGCAAACACTCATTTTCAAATTCAACACTATGTAATGTAATTGTACCTATTTGGAATGATAAGATTCAGGGCTAAAAGTACGGCGTTTTAGCGTTATTAGCTGTCTGCAAAGGCTAAAGGGAATACTGCAGGGATAAATGTTTAATTTATTGTGGTTTTTATAGCAGTTGGCTTGAAAATCTACAAAGGCCTCCAAAATTTTAATCAAGAATCTTAGTGCAGAATCTGTAGTGATATATATACAGTATAAAGGCTTTGGATACTTTTCAGTGGGACAAATGCAGATATGATAGCAATAAATAAAAGTGGGTGGACAAATGCAGATATGATTGCAGTAAATAAAAGTCGGTGGAGAGAAGAGCAGATGACTAAGTGGAGTTCTGTCGAGCTATGGTTAATGAGCCCAGAATTTGTATCCTCAAAGGTTGGGAGCATAA